GGGCTCGGTGACTCAGCCTGTAATCCCAGTGCTTTGGGAGGCCGAGGTGAGCGGATTGCCTGAGCCCAGGGGTTCGAGATCCACCTGGGCAACTTGGCAAGACCTCATCTCTACAATAAATCAAAAAATTAGCCAGGTGTGGTAGCGCGCGCCTGTAGTTCCAGCTACTTGGAAGGCTGAGGTGGAAGGATCGCTGGAGCCCAGCAGGCGAGGCTACGGTGGCCAGGAGCAGCCATTGCACTCCAGTCTGAGCGACAGTGAGACTCCAACTCAAAAAAAAAAAGAAAGAAAAGGCAGACTTGGGAGCAGAATCCAGGACTGACTCCAAAGTCCGTGCTCTAAACCTCACTAGTGATGATCATATGTCAGTACTTATTGGGCATTTACTGCATGCCAGGCAATGCCCTCAGCACGGGGCTAGATGCTTCCTGACAACCCTGGGAAGGGGTAGTGACTTTCTGTCCAGTTTGGGTTTGCACCAGCCACCACTGACGTGGGCTGGACAGGTCTTGGTCATGGAGGACTGTCATGTGTACTGTAGTAGCCAGCAGCATTCCTGGCTTCTGCTCACTAGATGCCAGAGATACTCCAGTTGTGACAACCAAAAGTGTCCCGGGCATTGCCCAATGGGATCTGGAGGACAGAAGCACCTGGCTGAGAACCATGGGTCCAGAAGCACAGCCAGCCCAAGGGTCCCTAGCCCCATTCTCCCCCTTTCCTTGGGCTCCTCCTGCTGGGACTCCCCACTGGTCAAACCCAACCAGAAGCCTGTGGCACAGAAGCCTGCTGAGTTAGTCCTCTTAGATCAGCTCCTGGGGTGGAGGGAGCTGGGTGGAGAAGAGTCAGCTGCGGATCTGAAGAGAAAACACACATCGTTATTCCTGCTGTACAGATGAGGGGTCTGGGGCACAGAGGGGTGTGGCAACTTTCCTAAGTTGCACAGCCAACAAGTGATAGAGGATAGAGCCTGGCCAGAGCCTTTGGTCTTACCAATAGATGCCCCCTGTCTCTGGGCAAGATGGGAAGGGAGGGTGCAAGGGAAGAAGGTGGGAGAGTGGGTGGAGAGGGCAGAGGTGGGGGGGGTCCCTTCAGATTCTCCCTGGCCATGACATCCTAGGTGCCTTCTATTCTGAGAAGCTGCCAGGTCCCAGCAGGGCTGGGCGAATCGTGGTCCTTAACACCAACCTGTACTACAGCAACAATGAGCAAACAGCAAACTTGACCGACCCCAGCCAGCAATTCCAGTGGCTGGAAGATGTGTTGACCAGCGCATCGCGAGCTGGGGAAATGGTGAGGGCTCCTGCTTCTTCTCCTCCCTCTCTGGGGCCACTTCTGAATAAGTCTTCGGCTCAGCACAAATTCACCCACCCATCCCGAGGTGCCCACATCACAGAGGGTCCTTCATCAGCCTGGCATTGGAGGGAGGGTCCTTCCATCCGCAGACTAGCCCTGTGTACTGCGACCCAGGAGTCCACTGCACAGAAGGACTCTGAGGCTCACGAGGAGTGCCGACGGTCCCAAGTCACACAATGGAGTCGAGACTAGGACACTGGTCTCCGCTCCAACTCCAGTGCTCTTTCCACTGCTGCCACACACACGGCGGCAGCCCATGGTCTGTGCGAGGCCTTGCCCTTCAGGGGTGTCCACCTAGTCTGAAGGCAGCTCCTCAGGGACTGGCCCAGTGCCTCATTTGCCTCAGACCTCGCGCTGCCCAGCCACGCCCAGAGGCTCTCCCACAGGCTCACAGTTGTCACTGTGCCAACATCAGGCCCCCTGCTCAGTGCTTTACATGAACATCTCACTGAGCTCTCAACACTCCTGCAGTTAGGGGTGCTATTCCAGATGAGAGGTGACACACAGCTGGCGTCTAAGCTGCCACCTGACTCCAGTGCCCTAACTCTGCCCCTTGTTCTTCCTCCTGCCATAGTGGCCAAGTGCCCAGGTGTTATTAGCTGTGTGACCCAAGGAACATAAGACATAGATGCACATTACTCACATAGTATATGCTACACACCTATACAGGAATGGCTTCGTCACAGTGCCCGAGTACTCCAAGAGGAGAAGACTAGTCTTAGAAGGATCAGGAAGATTTCATGGAGGAGGTGCTCTTTGAGCTGGGTTTTGAAGTATGGGTTATTTTATAGAAGTGAAAATGAGAAAGGTACTCCAGGTGGCAGGCACAGCATGGGCAGAAGCATAGAGGTAGGGAAGGCGTGTGGCGATTTGCTGGGTACAGAGAGAAATAGCCAAAGCTGCCAGAAGACAGAATAGGGGAGAGCCTCAGGGAGAAGACTATGTGAGCCTGTCTACCTGCCTGGGGGGAGATGGGCAGGTTTTGAGAGGTAAGGATGAAGGGCTAGGCCGGGTGTGGTGGCTCATGCCTATAATCCCAGCACTTTGGGAGGCTGAAATGAGAGGATTGTCTGAGCCCACGGGTTTGAGACCAGCCTGGGCAACTTGGCGAGACCTCATCTCTACAATAACTTACAAAAATTAGCTGGGTATGGTGGCACGTGCCTATAGTTTCAGCCACTTGGAAGGCTGAGGCAGAAGGATCACCTGAGCTCAGTAGGTTGAAGCAGCAGTGGCTGTGAGCATGCCACTGCACTCCAGCCTGGGCGAGAGTGAGACACTCCGACTCAAAAGAAAAAAAAAAAAAGACTGAGGGGCTGAAAGGGCGTCTCTGAGCTCCTCCTGGGCACTCCTTCTCCACAGGTGTACATCATTGGCCATGTGCCCCCAGGCTTCTTTGAGAAGAAGAGGAACAAGGCGTGGTTCCGGAAGGGCTTCAACGAACAGTACCTGAAGGTGGTCCAGAAGCATCATCGAGTCATAGCAGGGCAGTTCTTTGGGCACCACCACACCGACAGCTTCCGGATGTTCTACGATGAAAAAGGTATTCCACTCAGAGGTCAGCTCCAAGCCTCCCTCCCTCCTTTCCTCACCAGATGCTCTAGTCTCTCTCAGACCCGCTATCTCTCCCCTGACAGGTACCCCCATAAGCGTCATGTTCCTCACACCTGGAGTCTCCCCCTGGAAAACCACGTTACCCGGAGTGGTCAATGGGGCCAACAACCCAGGCATCCGGGTGTTTGAATACGACCGAGCCACACTGAAACTGCAGGTCAGGAGCCCTGGGTCTGCTGGGGCCAGAGGGGGGGGGGGCTAAGCACATCACTCCTTCCGTGACTCTCAGCTAATCTACCCACCCCTGACCACTGAGCCTCAGCAAGGCTCCGCTACTTCCACCCTCCTCAAGCTCAGGATCAGAACCCTGGAGGCACCTGCCACCCAGTCAGGGCAATTCTTCCCTAGATCTCCTTTTGCCTGGAATCACTGCCGCAGCCTCCTACCTAGTTTCTCTGCCTCCAGCCCTGCCCTAATGTGGCCTATCTGCTACACACTACAGAAGGGATTAGTCTTCTTTTTTTCATTTTATCTTTAAAATGTAGGGTACAAGCCGGGCTCGGTGGCTCAGCCTGTAATCCCGCGCTTTGGGAGGCTGAGGTGAGTGGATTGCCTGAGCCCACGGGTTCGAGACCCAACTAAAAAAAAAAAAAAAAAATGTGGGGTACAATTCAGGGTTAGGCACATACATGGTCATCATTCAGGTAAAGTGTGGGTATCCTTATTGATGCCATGTGTCTCTCCCCTCCACAGTATCCCACTACCGTCAATCCCTTTCTCATGGTATTATAATAAATGTTCAGGGTCCACTGAGATTAATCTTTCTAAAGCACTGCATTCATCATGTCTTTCTCTTGCTCAAAAACCTTCAATGGCTCCCCAGTATCCTCAAGATAAAAGTTGTGTATACTTGGCCTGGTATTCGAGGCTCCCCACAACCTGACATCCGCCAGTTACCCACCAACCAGGCTCCAGCCTCTAACTCATCAAGCAATCCCTCACCTCCTAAAACATGTTGTGGTTGTTGAAATGACAAGGAAACGTTATTCCTTCATTTATTCAACGAAATGTATTATGCATTTGCCATGTACCAGGTCCTGTCCTAAGCTGAGGAGATGTGTAAGTGAACAAAAAAGTCACTGCTCTCCTGGATCTGACATTCTTACAGGAGAGAGACAATAAATAAGTAAAATTAAGTATGGCTAAGGAGGAAACCAAAACAGAGAAAACAGCGTGGCAACAGTTCTGGGGTGTGTGCTACGTTAGATGGGAGGGACATGGAATGTGACACAGACAAGGTGACATCTGGGTTCTGAGTAATCTGAGGGCAAGCCATGTGGGCATCTGGGGAGGGTGCAGGGAAGAGCAAGCCAGAGGCCCCGTGTGGGGTGTGCTTTGTGTCAGGGGAGGAGCTGAGAGACTGGGGTGGTCACAGTGGAAGGCACGAGGGGAGAATGAAAGGGATGAGGTTGAGTCATGCAGGCCATGGTGAAGGCTCTGGACCTGGAGGGCTCAGAGAAGAAGAATGGAATCTTTTGATATATAATTTTACAAAATCACCGTGTGTGCTGTGCAGAGAGAAGCCTGCTGGGTGAATCTTGAAGGCTCTGGATTAGCCAGGATCAGCCCACAGAGTGGGTGTTGGCCATGAGTGCAGGATGTGGGGGAGGGTCCCAGGATTTTTGGTTCGAGCAACCGGAAGGCAGAGACTGCTGGTTGTTGCTGGGATGGCATGTCTGTATTTGGAAGTTTGGAGGGGTGATCCCAGGTCTGGTTTTGGACCTGCTGACTTTGGGATGGCTAAATGGCATCCATGTGAAAGTGGCAAGGGAGGGGGCAAGTTGGTGCTCCAGGGAGAGGTGAATCTGGAGATTTAATTAGGGGTGGACAGAGGACATTGCCAGGGACTGGCTGAGATAACCTAGGTCCTTGGCTCTAGGGAGTAAACATAGATCAAGAAGAGGTCAGAGGGCTTTTTTTTTTTTGAGTTGAAGTCTCACTCTGTCGTCCAGGCTGGAGTGCAATGGCATGCTCACGGCCACCCCAGTGTCGACCTGCTGGGCTCCAGTGATCCTTCCGCCTTAGCCTTCCAAGTAGCTGGAACTACAGGTGTGCACTCTCACACTTGGCTAATTTTTTTTTTTTAATTGTAGAGACGAGTTCTCGCCAAGTTGCCCAGGCTGGTCTCGAATCTGCAGGCTCAGGCAATCCACTTGCTTCCATCTCCCAAAGTGCTGGGATTACAGGCTAAGCCACCCAGCCCGGCCCAGAGGACTTTTAAGAGTGTGGTCTGTTGTCCACACAGGCACTCAGAGGGTCTTAACAAGAGCAATTACAGGTTGGGGAACCCCCACTGCCACCCAATAACATGCCTTATACATTCTTAAGGAGAGAGTCAGACTTGGCTTAGAATCATGGCTCCATCATTCATAAGCTTTTTTTTTTTTTTTTAGTTGGAGTCTCACTCTGTCGCTCAGACTGGAGTGCAGTGGCTGCTCCCGGCCACCGCAGCCTCACCTGCTGGGCTCTGGCAATCCTTCCGCCTCAGCCTTCCGAGTAGCTGGAACTACAGGCGCGCGCTACCACGCCCGGCTCATTTTTTTGATTTATTGTAGAGATGAGGTCTCGCCAAGTTGCCCAGGCGGGTCTCGAACCCACGGGCTCAGGCAATCCACTCACCTCGGCCTCCCAAAGGCACAGGATTACAGGCTGAGCCACTGAGCCCAGCTTCATTCATAAGCTTTCTGAGCTCTGTGCCTCAGCTGCTATATCTGTAAAATGGGAGTAACAGTACCTCAGGATTTGGGAAGGACTAAATGAAACACCGTAATGTGCCTGGCATGCAGTTGCCATCCATACATGGCAGCTCCTCTTTCCCCATCTCCCATGACCTGAAGCAGGCCCATACATTTAGTTGGAAATTGATGGACCAATAAGTCCTTCAGATTCTTTTTTTTTTTTTTTTTTTTTTTTTTTTTGAGTTGGAGTCTCACTCTGTCGCCCAGGCTGGAGTGCTGTGATACCGGGATAAACGAACTGGGTTCCAATCCTGCCTCTGCCACTGAACACCTGTATGACCCTGGCCAAATGAATCAACCTCTGTAGGCCTCAATTTCCATATCTGTGAAATGGAGGTAAAAGTGCAGTTACCTCATCAATCAGAGGATGTCTGCCAAGTATACCTGGTAGTGAATGCTCAACAGCAGTCGTTATCACGCTATAAAGAATCTGGGGGCCAGGTACTGAGGCTCACACCTGTAATCTCAGCACTTTGAGAGGCTGAGGAGTTGAAGCCAGAAGTTTGAGACCAGCCTGAGCAACATATGGAGATTCCATCTCAATTAAATAAATACATACATACATACCTAGGGTAAATAAATACATAAATAAATATTGGCTGGGCATGGTGACTCACGCCTATAATCCCAGCACTTTGGGAGGCTGAGGTGAGGTGAAAGCTTGAACCCACGGGTTCGAGACCAGCCTGGCAACTTGGCGAGACTTCATCTCTACAACAAATAAAAAAACTAGCCGGGTGTGGTGGCACACACCTGTGGTTCCAGCTACTTGGAAGGCTGAGGCAGAAGGATCACTGGAGCCCAGCAGGTAGAGGCTGCAGTGGCGGTGAGCATGCCACTGCACTCTAGCCTGGGCGTCAGAGTGAGACTCCGACTCAAAAACAAAAACAAACGAGTAGGTAAGGAAGTAAGTAAGTAAATACCGCAAGGTGCAGGATGAGAGGTGAACCTGAACAGCTGCTCACTGTCTCCCTCCCTGCGCGCCCTCCCCAGGACATGGTGACCTACTTTGCGAACCTGAGCCAGGCGAACGCACAGGGGTCGCCGCGCTGGGAACAGGAGTACCGGCTGACCGAGGCCTACAGCGTCCCCGATGCGGACGCGGGCTCCATGCAGGTGGCGCTGGACCGCATCGCTGACAACGACCAGAGCACCCTGCAGCGCTACTATGTCTACAACTCGGTCAGCTACTCTGCCGAGGTCTGCGACGATGCCTGCCGCACCGACCACGTGTGCGCCATGCGCCAGGTGCCTTTCGACGCCTACACTGACTGCCTGAGAGCCCCGAGCGACCTCAGCGACCCGAGCGACCCGGGAGCCGCGCACGTGCCCCACCTTATGCTGCTGGGGACGGCGCTGCTGGGCCTGCTCGCGCTTGCGCTGTGACCTGGGGTGTTGCCCACCCACTCACGTGCTAGGCTCCTCCTCCTGGTTACAGGGGGCAGTGTCAGTGTCACCCCCTGGAAAGCTGGACTTTCCCACCATCGGTCCCCCAGTCCCCCGCGTTTACGGAGAGTGAACTGGGATGGGGCCGCTGGACCAGGACATGAAGCCCCAAAGACCTCGCTAGAAGCACATTTTTTTCACGTTTCATGTTTTGTACACAAAATAAAACCGTTCATCTTATTCTGTGCGTTATTCCGTTTAATGTGTACATATTTAAAGTAACTCACATGCATGGCTGGGTATGATGGCTCAGGCCTATAATCCCAGCAGATTGGAAGGCTGAGGTGGGAGAATCGGTTGAGGCCAGGAGTTCAAAACCAGCCTGGGCTGGGCTCGGTGGCTCAGCCTATAATCCCGCGCCTGGGGAGGCTGAAGTGAGTGGATTGCCTGAGCCCGCGGGTTCGAGACCCGCCTGGGC